CCGTTTCGTTATCTGGGACAGTTTTGGCATGTCTTTGACTGAAAACTCACACCAGGCTTCATTGGAGGTATTAAATTTGTCTTTTAAATACATCCACATATTAAGGTCATCCAACTTTTTGTCTGTCATTTCCTTTTCTGTATTATCAATAAAAGGAAGTTCCCCTTCTTCAAGAAGACTAAAAGTCTCTAACTTACCAGTGTCCTCACTGGAGACTTCTACCTTGGTGGCAACATAATAATACAAACCAAGGAATGACAGGGTTGTGTGACATTGTTCCTTCAACTGTTTTTTGACACGTGCCTGATGCTGTCGCGTGTACTGCCGAAAAGATTTTTTCTTTGCTTGGCCTCTTGACCTTTTTTCTAAGCACATGTCTGCAACCTTTTTCGCCAAACGTTTAAATCGTCTCTTGCTTTCTTCGTCTTTCTTCTGTGACTTTTCCAGGGCAGTTTTCAATTTCTCTTCAAGGCAAATCCGTTTAGCTGCTTGCTAAGTCACGCGCTCCTGGAGTGCTCTTTTCTCACCTCTCAGCCGATCGCAATCACCCTTTAATTTCAAAACGTCAACTTCGTTGTAGAACACTTTTAATTTATAATTTGGTCCTGATTTGCTTGCCCGCTTGAACGCTGTATGGAGGATTGATATCTTTTTCTTAAAAACGTTCAAAATGCGTTTGTTTACTTCCACATTATGTGCTCCTGAATCTTCCAAAATTTTCTTCACGACAGATGCTATAGGGGAATCGTTACCTTCACCGTCATCACTCTTTTTCTCCTTCGATATGGTGTAAATGAGGAAACTAAAGAATGGAACACTGGTAAATCTATTTTAAATGCCGCTAACATAAAAAACGTAACACAATCTTACTTTAAAATTGTTGACATTACGTGAAGTATATTTCCTACTTCTAGAGCCGGCTACGGCGCTTGTATTCGATGTCACTTACTCCTTTTCCGAGCTCAACTACCTTTTCCGACGGCACCCTTTACAGTGTTAAAATTTAAAGTAATAATATTATTTTATATACTTACTTGTTTATGTCGTACGAGAACGAAGGAACAGAATCACCCGATGAACTGCTTCCCTGCTCTCCTGAATCGTTCCCAGCCGATTCACTTCTTTCAATGGAAATGAATAGCAGCAGTAAAAACATATATTGGTAAAACTTGAAGGCCATTGGTCCGTGAGAAAATTTTCATTAATATTTATAAATCGCATACCAAAACGCGGGGAATTTATTACAGTTTTCAAATCTGGCGGTAACACGTCTATCCCGGCATGCAGTGAGAAGCTGTTCCCCAGTCTTCATAGGCAGGTCTGATTTTCGCGCTCAGATTTCTTAAAAATTGACTTGACTCAATAAAAGGAACTTCCAAGGACCATGAGTTAATTTATGTTTTTCGAACTAAAAAAGTGCAATTAAGATGCAATAAACATGTAAGTTTAATAAATTGGTTGTAACCAGTTGTGAAATTTTTCATGAAAATCACAGTAAGCACAAAACTACCACATTTTCATTTTTTGTAAGAGAGCTTTGATGGGCGTGGCCGTCGGAAATATGATAGAACCTTTTGTTAACAAGGAGTTTCATATGTGTAAGTTACATTAACAATTTTGAGCCTTTTGCCAATGTTAGTCCCATCCCCACTAATTTTAACTTTGATTTTGGTGTTCATGTTAAAAAATCCTTTTCCCTGTAGCCTGATTTCTTGTTCCTCTAAACTTTCTCTAAAACTTAACTGGACTCTCTCGGCCTGGCCAGGTGTGGGTTGGAGATTCCATTTTGCATTCAGTTCCTTTAATTTCTTCTCTATTTTATAATTGTTTGGCATCTGTTTTGTTTTCGTGGCCAACTCATGCCAAGCCTCATTTGAAATGTTAAATCTATCTTTAATATAGATCCACATATTACCGTCATCCAAATTTTCATCTGTCAGCTCTGTTGAGTCATTGTCCTTTCAGTGGAAGCTCGTTTTGATCAATCAAGGAAAATGTCTCGTACTGGTGAGTTTCGCCATTGAAAACTTCTACTTTTGTGGCAATAAAATCACACAATCCGAGGAAGGATGGTGTCGCCTGACAGTTTTCCTTCTTCTGTTGTCGAAGACGTGACTGATGCGGTTTTGTCCGGCCCTCTCTTTCCATCTCTCTGCAGTTTTGCAATTTTACGCGCTAGAATCTTAAATTTCTTTTTGTAGTTTTTTGTCCTTTTTTTCTGTCTTCTTAAGTACCTGTTCGAGTTACTCTTCTACCTTTAGCCTTTTCGTCTATTCATCTGCGAGGGATGCTTCCAGCTTTCTCTTTTGTCCACGCAAAGCCCTGTTCTCCTGTTGTAGCTGACATGCTTCAATTTCATTATAAAGTACCTTGATTGAGTACGTCTCTTTCTGCCATTTTTCTTTAAGCTTCTTAGCATTAGAATCTGGAGGTAACAGAATGATAACGTTCTTTAAACGAAAGAGAGATACCGAAATCCTCTAAAGATTCTTTAGTCAGTCGGGTCACAGCGGGTGTCACGCAATATCCGATAGAGCCTTTTGTTAAGCGTGACTTTCATATATTTGCTTTGGCCCTTAAACTTAGCATGTAATGGTCAATTTGGCATATTTTGTTTAGCTCATTATTCACAACTGTGTTAGGCTGGATCTCTCTCTGTCTGAACTCTAAAACTTCATTTGGGATCCGTATTTGGGGGTAAAACAGTCCTTGAAGTATTCTTTAACTCATCCCATGGCAGAGACCTAGGGTCTAATTCAAACTATTTGGATACTGGCTTCAATAAAATGCAGGGTATACACCGAATACAAATATGGCGGACCTCTCGGGCGGCCCGGGGCTAGTTGCGTGGAAGCGAGGCTAGTAAGGCCAGCCAGTGAGGCCGGCTTTTCCCTGTGTTTTGATCGTCACGAATGGCTGCTTCACGTGCGCTCACAGAAGACGATATTCCTGAAGCTTCTCTTCGAGGTAGATCGCCTGCCACGCTAAAAAATGAAGAACTTCGTTTCTGGCTGAAATGTAGGGGCGATACATTGAAAGGACTGAAAACAAAAGCACAATTAGTGAAAAGGTAGGATGCTCGTACTTCGACCGATTCGCGGAGATTTCGCGCCTCGCTTGCCTTGATTGCAATTGCGGTAACCAAAGTTTAAAAACGATCTTATCTTCCCTTCTGTTTAGGGTTGAGGAATATATCAAAGAATGTCGTGATCAAAATATAGTAGATCCGGATCCTGACTCCGTATATACAAAGCGCAAGGAACGCTTGGATAAAAACAAAGATGACAACTCCGGAATTGCCGCAACTCAGCATCCTTTGAGTTTCCCATCAGATGGCTGGTCTGCAGACATACGGCGGATGCCCTTTTTTACCCGCGCCGAAATGAATGACCACATTTCAAAGTCTGGAAAAAGAATTGATCCGACAAGTAAAGCCCATTCAGTGCCAACTAGTATTCGGAAAGCGACAACTTTTCTGAATGACGAATATTTGAAGGGTATCTCCGCAGCAAGCGATGACAACTACTTTTATTTCCGGTCTCACTGCTATCACAGTTTTCGGAAGAATGATGCCCCACACAACTTGAAAGTCGCATTGTGCATTTTAAGTGGGGAAGTGAAACATGCTACATGTTCCTGCGTTGCTGGGAAGGTTGGTTTTTGTAACCATTTATTAGCACTCTTGATGAAGATTTGCAAATTCTCATTATATGAATGTAAAACTGTCCATGAACTTGAAAACGAAGAAGACATGCAGCCAAAGCAAGCATGTACTTCCTTTTTACAGAGGTGGCATAGGAAGGGAAGAGGAGACTCTATAAATCCACAACCAGCAATGGAGGTGCTTGTAGCAAAGACCTACCTGGAGCAGCCCAGATCATCAGCTCGAGAACCTGGTGTCAGATGTACACTATATGAGGCAAGGAATAATATACGGGGGCAAAAGGCAGATGAAGAGAAACTATTGGCAACCTTGAAAGAATTGAACCCAAATATGGCCCTAGCACAGATTATGACCCCAAAGGCTGATTCTATTCCCTTAGTAGAAACCAAATTTGGCAGAAGTCCACAAGGCTCGTATGCTAGCTATCAACTTGCAGTGACCGAAGATAATTTCAAAGTGTTTTGTGACATCACGTCTATCCCAAGGGCAAACCCTGCCAACCATGATGAGCATATTGTGACATATCCAAGATTTCCCCTATCAAGTCAGTCTAATGAACAGTTTGAGATACCTGCTGATCTTTCAGAAGCAGAAAAATCACTGTTAAAGGATCTGCAAGTTGATGAAGATAAACTGAATGGCATTGAAATTAAAACACGCAGCCAATCAGAGTGCCCTGAATGGAAGTTGGAAAGGAAATTCCGATTTACTGCCTCCAATTTTGGTCTTATACGGGACAGAAAAAGAAACCATGAATCTTTAGTACAAAATCTTATAAATCCAAAGCCTTTTTCATCAAGATATACTAATCATGGACTTAAATATGAGCCAATTGCCTTAGAACAATACCAAACATATATGTCCTCTATTAACAAGTCAGTGAAGGTTTTTAAGTCAGGACTTGTAATAAGTATGGATGCCCCATACTTGGGTGCATCACCAGATGGCAAGGTTATTGATCCTGGATGCTCTGATCAATTTGGTCTTTCTGAGGTCAAGTGCCCAGAAACCAAGTACTTAGTCACCCCACTGGATG